TATATATATAGATATATATATAGAGACAATAGATATCGATATATATTATCATGCCATATAAGTAATAGAAGCACAACCATTGCGATGCGGCAGATATATATGTACAATAAATTGGTAGATATATCCATATATATTCAAGGCTTAGATATGAATATGCTAGATAAGAATATCATATAATGTGTGGCAAGGCAAATTTGATAGGCTTGCTAGGCCTGTGAATAAAAGAGAAAAGACTTGCGCGTATCTCCCTTCTTTGTCTCGGATTTGTTTTCAGATCCGAATCTTAAAGGTTGCTAAAAATTGCACACGCCACAAAATTTCGGGTCCGCACAAGTCATTTCTCAGGCCCGGGTCCAAATTCAACGGATTCCAATTCCTAGGCCTGGAGGGGGGGGGCCACGACCCCCCCCCAAAAAAATCAAATTCTGGGATTTCAATTCTAAATCCCAGATTTTTTTTTGGGGGGGAGGGTTTGGACTCGCCGCCACCCCCCCTCTCCTTCCCGAAGGCCCGGGTCCAAGCTCAAAGGACTCCAGCCCCTGGGCCTAGAGGGGGTGGGGCGGCGAGCCAAAAAAAATTCTTGGAATTAGAATTGAAATACTAGATGTTTTTTTTTTATTTTGGCGTCACCTTCTTCTTCCCACAAATAAACGACAAAAATATAATAGGTGAATCGGCGATCCCTTCTTCTCGTATTATATTCTTTATTAAATTAGATGCCGATACGTGCCTAGATCATCCGAGGCACGATATTTTTATTCTTAAATATTTCAATGTTCAATATTTCGAAAATTCATAATTCGGTTCACGAATATTTCATCATCTTTTTTCAGATTTATAGAAAATATAAAGATGGAAAAACTTCTAGTAAAATATATCCATATAAAAAATAAAAGAAATAATTCTATAATATATTTAGAATATAAATCTATAAAATTTATGCTAGCAATTTTTTTCTTATTTCAAAAATAAATTTCTATCCTAAGATACAAAACGAAATTCCAAAAAACCATTCTAAATAATAATATTTTTGAAAAATACCAGAAGAAAGAATTTATCATCGAATATATAATAAGATATTATCATCTTTTCAATTAAAGTCTATATCAAAAATATAAAAAATATCAATCTAGATTTTTAATTCGATAAATATCAACCCTTCATTAATCAAAGATATAATAAAACCATCAGATAAATCAAATCTTTTATATATTTCTTAAATCAATAAATTTCTTCTAAAAATACAAGAATCTCGATTTACATTTATTTATCTATTCACTTCATTCAATATATAATATATAATATTAGAAAATCTTCAAATCAAAACAAAAACATAATTTCAAGATACCTTAACATAAATCCTCGTGAATTTGACCTTGCTTAAAATACGTTCATTTGCCGAAATATCAACTTACAATAATACACAAATAAAAACAAATATCTCAGATAATCCAAAATATGCTCTTCATAAATTTTTAATTAATTAATTAATATAATAGATAATCTAATAAAAGAAAACAAAATCAGAATCTTCCGATTTCCAACATAAATATCTTAAAAAAAATTAATTTCGAATCATGTTTCTATATAAATTATATAGATAATATCAAATAAAAATACGATTCCATATCGCAATAACCTCCAAATCTATTCTTCTTCCACTCTACAACAAAAATTAGAATCGACAAATAATATATTTCATATATTAATAAATACCGCCCCCCCTCCCTCCTCTACCTCGCGGGATATAGAATCCCTTTCCCACTAAAGTAATCCTGCGGAAATTTTACTTGATTCTAAGAAGGTTTCTTAATTCTTGGAATGCCAAGAGAAAATTTAGAAAATAGACTATTAAACTAACGATTGTTCTACTTCAAGTTTAGAATGAAAAAAATAGAATTTAGAATCAACTATAAATTTTGAAATATCTAAGAACCCTTGCCGCCCCCAGCCTCCCAACCAATCGCCCCGACCCCTCTCCGCACACGGAACTTCCATGAAATATAACTTTTTTTGTTGTATTCTATTTCTGAAGGGTAAATCAACTATTAGAATCAACTATAATTTCATAGATTATAGAACCTGTACTTTCGAAAATATGCAAGGCTTAACCGCGGCTCAACAAAATATCCTCTACCCGCGGGCTTCCCATACTGTTGAGTAATAACACTTATTGTCGTATCAACCGGCCGGATAGCTGCAAACATATAAATCTCCTAGGGCCTTAGATATGCTATATTTTCTGAGACTGGCCGGCACCCGTCTAGTTCAGCAAAGCCGCTCGGCTTGAAGCTTCCCAACTCTTCCAACTCTTAGTCTTTCTGACTCCCTTTCCTCTCGGCCAAGCACACAGCTCAGAATCTCATGGGAACAGTTTCGTTGCACCTGAGAAGAACAAACATCAGCGCATGCTCTCTCTTACCCACAAGGCCTGGCCTTGCAGGCGAATTCGGCCTGGGAGTTGGCCACCTCGACCTTCTTCCAGGGCCGACTGAAGTGGGGAAAGGTTTGCATTGCGAGTGGCCTCCAGAGCGCATCTCGCAGCTCAGACGATAAGCGATGAGGCAGAACTGGAGTCTTGTACAACCTGGACTGACCAAGACTCTTGTTAGCTGTTGGCTGCTACTTCTCCTCTGTTTCTACCGCGTCAATCGTGGCACTTGCTGCTTGCAGCGCGACATGGTTGGGACAGACATGAGTTCCTCGTTTGGATTCGACCGTTGCAGTGTGCGAGGGGTCAGTCTTGTTTTCGCAGAAATCGACAACATTGGGCACGCTACCTTGAGTCACCTGCGAGCTTTTGATCCTTGCGGGCCCCGCTTAGACAGAGTACTGTAATCTATTCCGTTCGGTGGTGTGTGCACGCATACTCCTGGACGACGCTCGGAGCTAACCGTCAGCTGCAGAACCGGTATTAGTCCAGCCACCGTGCCCCAGAGTGAATACACGATCAGCGCATGCACATGCAGGATGTGAGCTCGCTGCTCCGGAAAGTCGGTGCGATTGAAAAACAGATCCTGCAATGTCAGCCAGATGAAAATGACACATGAACCTCGCAGGAGTGCAGAACTGGGGCGGCTGCCAGCAGAGGCTCATAGCCTATGCCGAGGCCGTGCCGAGCTGCAAACCTCATGTCAGTTCGGAGACTGAGTGCACAACATGTCATTGCCTACTGGTCTTTGCCTGTCCTTCAAATTTGGTGCTTCATCCCCAGGCTGCCTCCTAGATCTGCTAGATATAGATAGACCAGCTGAGCTGTGGTCATTATTCTGTTTTTGGTGAGAGCGACAAGGAAACCCTTCCGCAGGACCCTTCGCGCTGGAGGCTTTAGCTGTAGCTTCCGCTGCCATCAACTTTTATATCGCTTTTATTCGATTCCCTTCCTTGCTTCCGCAAGTAAGGGCGTCAAGTCTAGAGGAGCTGTTTGTTTGCGGCTGCTGTCGACAAATATCAACATGCTCAACGTTTGGTGAGCACGAAGTATGCTGCTGCAATGTTGGTAACCTTTTTCTCTACCTTCTTCTCGGGTGCCGACTTCAGATCTTCTGCCAATGTCGAAAGCACTCCGTGTGCCATCGGCTGCCCCGAGGTAAGCCAGGTCTCGGGCTGTCGACTAGCATCCGCATCATCGCTGTCCTGGGAGGGCTCCAAGTCTCCAAGCATTCTCATCGGGTCAAGCCGTCGCCCTGTCGCATCTTCTCAGCCTAGCTTGGCTTCGGCAAGCGTCTCCATGGAGAAGGTGGAAAGCAATGATCTTGTCTGCATCGCCTGCGCCAAGACCGAGTGCTTTGTAAACGCACTCGAAAGCTTTTTGACATGCCAGTGCATGTCAGCTCGACACATGCAGCTTGCTTGCCCCAAGGGCCTGTCCAGCCAGCCACGTCCACGTGTCGAGCGGAGACAAACTCTGTCTCTGGGTCGAGGAAGTCCCATCTGGGCACTCGCCTTATCTGAGAGATTCTAAGAGTATGCCTTGCTCTGCAGTGGCACCGGGTTCGTGCTCCAACATGCAGCAAAATCTTGCCAAGGCGGGTGCTCTGGGGCAACCGGCAACTCGCTTTCGAACCTCAGTGTTTCCAGCGTCTTGTGCTGTCACTGCGCGGCCGCATCTACACCACCAGTCCAGTACACTAGGGCGGGGACGCCACTCGCTCCCCAGCACGTAAAAAGGCACTGAAAGCTTTCTGGTCGTGCTCATAGGGATGCTCGTACATCCAGACCTCCAAGCGCACCAGCGTCAGGGCTCGTGTACTAGGAAGACGAAGATGCTCAGCTGCATGCCAGCAGAAGTGCTAACCTTGGTGATTTGCACAACGTCTTCAGCATGCTGCATCAAGGCCCCCCCCGGCGTGGGCACTATTTGCAGACTAGCTTCCAGGATCGTACGGACTCCACTGCACGGAACAAAACAATACCTTGCACGATTCACTCGCACCCGTTGCTTTGCCAAGCGAAGCTGTGAAATCTCTTATTTGAGCTTTCCGGTGTCTGGCTTGCATCTCGACCGATACTGCGTCACCCGCCCGTGGGTGCCAGACAAAGAACTTTCAGTCAAGCGGCCACTACCTTGCATGCATGTCAGCGGATCTGTCTTCATCGAACTTGTGTACGGCACAGACTTCCAGAGTCAGCAGAATGCATCTGGAACTCAATTAATATTGTTTGAAACCGTGCATGCACACATACTGGGATTGAAGTACCAAGGCTGCTCACACTGCGAGGCAGGTACTTTCCCTTGCCCTAATTACTTTGCCGACTGTGTGAACTTCTATGTGCATGCCGGGCTGCAAATGCAATCCACAGCAAACGAGCCGGAGATCAGCAACTCAAGCTCACTGTTCTCCCGCAGTTGCCGGATTAAAGGCAGCGTCGGTGACTGGAACAGGAAAACGTCCAGATCCAACCTAGGTTCATTGAAGGGGAGTCTGGCGGAAGAGGCCCAGGCGACTGAGAACCCAGCCACATGACATCAAAGTCGTGTTGCAACAACACCTGGGACAAGTCTGCAGACCGGATGATTTGCTCAACTTGCAGTTGCAAATCTGAGCTGACCACTAAAGGCAAGGTGAACTTGTTCAGTATCCTGTGCAACTGTGAAGGTCGTTGCCGGCATGCTGTAGTGATCACGAGTCTGAGCACAGATGAGGTCTCTGCGAAGGCGTTCCGCGAACGCAGTTACCCTTCACATTTCGGCATTCAGCCAACGCCTCTGCCACGGGTGCGGCTGCGACCGCCGATCGCACAGGGAAGGTCCTCGCCTGGCCTCTTCGTCCAGACAGAACACCACCAGCTGGGCCCCGATCCCAAGGGCTGTGGCCCGCCCTTTGCAGCCAACTTTAAGCCGACCCGCGTCGCACAGCTCGTCGACCTTCTCGGGATGCTCAGGGGCGGACCGATGAAGCGGCTGACGTACGGACTGAAACGTGGCCCATGGGCCATGGTCGCCTCAGCAGTTCTCACACTCGGGGCTCTGATGATATCATTTCCCAGCCAGAGAGAGCACTGCCAGAAATGTTCAAGCGGTCTCGGGTCTTCAAATCACACGTGCACGCAGATCCCATCTTCTGGGGCTGTGGCATAGATTAGGCGCAGCCTGCACAAGGCATGGGATCGATTCATCCAAAGCTCCTTCGGAGCCTTCAGTTGGGGTGGTTAGACCTACGAGTAGGATGATTGTTCTGACACTTCCAGAGCTCTGCACGATTCATCCAAACCCGCGGCCCTCATGATTGCAGCAAACTAGACTTTGGCCGAAGAGATATGGCGGTTTTTGGGGCCCTGGCCGTATGCTAGTCTTGTAGCCAAACCTGGCAGCCTCGCATAAAACTTCGAGGGACCGTTTTGAAGCCCCTTGAGCACATCCTCCGTCCGAGATCAAGGCAGCGTCGTCTGCAGAATCACGAAGCCTAGGCAGGCAGGCCTTGCCACGTGAGCCAGCTTTTTGAGGACTTTTGCTGCATTGGCGACACCAAGGCCGTGAGAGCCTGAAGGTCTTGCCTTGGCCATGGATATGCTGGGCACGGAGTTCAGCAAGAGACGTGCCAAGGACTGGGCATCGACAAGGAGGCTTCTGCCTGGCAAAGGCGTACTGAAATCATGAGGAGCCGAGGAGCCGTCCGGTCCGCTTAACCCAGAAGCCTCTAGGTCTTCGCGTGGGTATGTTGGGCTGGGCCTCGTGTTCGCAGAGGGACTGCAAATGCGAAACTCTGCGGATGGAACTCAATGCCTCGAGAGTAACTCGTTCGGCGCGAAGTCCAGTTGAAATCTGTGCCGCCTGTGCCAGTAGCACGGCCAACTGCTACGAAGAGCGACACCAAAACAAATGTATAAGTTCCGTATAAGTCAATAATCATCACAATCATCAGTGCCAACAGCCCAGTCAGGCGGCAGGCGCAACATAGATGTCAACCAACTCGACTGCTTTGTTGCGGTGCTGAAAAAACAAAAGCAGCCATGTCAAATGTACTGGACCGGCCTCACGACTCGAGACACGTGGCCTCAGTCAGATTGCTGCCATGACTCTTTGTTTCTGTGAGTTGGTCTGTGTCCCTCTGTGGGAACAGACACCGAGAAGGAACCCACGAGCCCATCTCTCAACAAAGACACCTAGAACCACCAGCGGCCCGCTACTCTGTGCCGAGGAAGCAGCCCAGGAGATGCAAGAGTGGCCATCCGCTCGCAGCCACTCGCTGCAGTGGGATGTCTTGTAGGACTGCGCCTAACATGGTCTCGTGGGCCCGGAAGCAGATGGACTCCGTGTGTGAGCACAGCATGGCCTTGATAAGATTCGCGGTTGCAAAACCCAGAGGACACTCCAAAGCAGCTTCCCTCCACATCTTCTCCAACTCGGGCCCGTATGCGACATCCACGGCCGGCTGATACCAGTCTTGCAGGGTGAACAGTCGCTTAAACGCACCCCAGTTCAAGATGCGCTTCTCAGGGTCCTCGCAAGCCAAGTCTGTCTCCCCCCTGTCTTCCTCTGCTATCCTATCCCAAACATCAGAGTGCAAAGACTCGTAAATTGGCCAGCGCGTGCCCATGAGCACTCGGAGACCGAAGAAGGCCATGCCATCCCGGACCAAACGCTCAAATGTGTCAGAGCAGGCATGGAGCTTGTCGAAACATGCAAGCATCTGAAGGATGTCCGCCATCAAGAGTCCAAGGGGACATTCCTTTATCGCACGCTGTCGGTTGCTTTCATCAGTTAAGAGGGACAGAGGAAGGCTTGAGACAGCGAGCCATCCTTCACCTCGTGGCCTTTGTAGAGCCTGCAACCACTCAGCCCAATCAAGTAGCGGGGCCTCCCTGCTGGGCCGTATGCAGTCATAGTCGGGAAGCAGTTTCTCTGGATCTTGGGCTTTCGCAGCCAGAATCAGAAAACACCAAAAGCTGGCGTCCCACATGGCAGGAACCAATCGACCGGAAAACCACAGCGCGACCACAGTCTCAAAGTGAAACCCTCGGAGTCTGGGCTGTGGCTGGTACACTGGTATGAACTCGCTTTGGAACTGAAACTAAACAAATCGCTCCTTGCGCTTTGACGGCCTGCACGTCTGCAGCAGCACTCAAACCCTTATCACGTTGCACTCGACGAATCTGGCGATCACTCACCACACTCCGATTCAGCTTTCTGCGCAGCAGGAATGTCTCCGGTGCTTGCCAGACTTTCAGCAGCTCCGACTACCTGTGCCTTGCAAACTGCCATCTGTGAGGATAGTGATGAAGCAATATGAAGTACGAGTAACATGGAGCATCTGTTTGCACCAGTGCTAATCTCCCTAGCTCACATAATCACTTCACAAATGCAGTAGAATCCTAGACGAGTATGTACAGTGTCAGAGACTTTGCCCTTGGTCCATCAGTCCAGCTTGTTCAGATCCTGACTTCTCAAACATGGCAAGTTTTTCTGAGTCTCCTTCTGCTCTCAATGGTTACCTCCCTTCTTCTTCACCTGTGCACGTCCGGAGTACTCCCATGGCAGTACTGCCCGACATCCCCGTGGCCAGCCTTTGGTGCTGTATTCTTTCTTTCTGTTTTGGATCTTGCGGAGCCCCGAGTGCACACACAAACACACACGCGCACATACAACCTATCATTGCAGAGGTCCTGGCACTGCAGGTGCTTTTTGGGCTATGCTTCTCTTTCATCGTGCCTTAGGGGTGGAGACCTTTGTCATGGTGGCCCATGGCAGTCCCTTGCTTGGACAGGGAATCGGTTGGGACCCGCTTCACTTTCACGTCTCGTGGTCAAGCCTCAATGTGATGCGAACTTTTCTAAATAGCTGCCCTGCGCCTCACAGCACACACGCAAGGACCAAAGCAAAAACCCTCGAAGCATCTCGAAGTGTCACTCACCTTGCACATCCTTACCGCATTACCTGCAGGCTCGAAGAAGAGATCGAGGCGTCCCCTCGAGCTAGGCAGCTGGCAGAGCTACCGGGCTGCGTAGGCCTCAATATCAGGAATTCGCTTAAAATGCTTTCCGTGATCCCCTCACAGGAAGTTACGACTTTGGCGGTAAGATGCCGGCTGGACGTACACACTGCCACGTCGACGGCCAACCGGTGCTCCCTCCGGTGGCTTCACCCTGCGAATGCAACCCGCATGAGCTTCCGCCAGCAGTTTCGAAGGCCGAGTTCCAAGCTCTCTCTCCTTGTGACTTTCCATCCTCCAGAGACTGTCTTGAACAACATGCTTGGCTAGCACGTCTGCTTACTTGGTCCTCTCAGCAGGTGGTGCAGCCGGAGCAGGCAAGGCATGGCCTCCCAGTGTTTGACAGGTTTTGTCATTCGCAGGAGCTCGCTGCTTTGGCCTTGCCTGCTTCCTTGGATCCTCCTCCTCTCCCTTCTGACGTACCGTGGCCACTGTGGCTTTCCTGAGTCGGGTCTTCGCACGCTCGGACATTGGCGTGGGGATCACTCAAGCTCACGACAGAGCTCTGCGTAGTCCTGGAATCGCGGATGACATCGCACAGGATTGCACGGAGATGACGAGAAGCAAAGGTCAGCAGGTCTCTAGCATCGGTCTCTGGGAGCCCGGCTTTGTGTAGACTGATCCTCGCCGCCGCCCCATGCGACCGGCCCTAGGAACGGTAGGAGGACCGACCCAAGGTAAGGGCCGGAGCGGCTGAGGCCCAAGCTCCGATTCGGCTCTGGCAGGCTCGGTCCTGCCAGACAGGGCCATGCCTTGCCATGGGCTCTACTCTTCGTGCTTCTCTCTGTCGCACCTTTTGCTCTTCAAGCAAAAGCTAACTTGGTCCGACGGTTTTGTCCAGCCCTGTGCAGTGGTCTGCCAGGACATGGGATGCGATTTGCAGTGGCCGCCACGTCCGACCACAAAATGTCAAAAGATGTGAGGAAATCCGATGAGGCTCGTCCTCAAAGTCCCAGTGCGTGCCAAATCCAACCTTCTGGAGATTTCGCGCTGCTCGCGTAAGGAATGGGCCTCCAACCTGAATCTGCTGTTGCCGAACGCTTCCCCAGAAGCTTCCACTGCTCCTCCTCGGCGAATGCAGCGCGCGCTTGCTGCGTGCTGACTGGTGCAGGCCTCTTTACAAAGAAAAAGGCATGTGTCAGGTACGGAAGGGTGATGTTATCTACATCTGGTAGATTGGCACGCACGACCGCGCGGCATCTTTCGGCGATGGCATCCTGTTCAGCAACCGGGCGATTTGCCACAACCGACAAGCTCAGGACCCGACCAACCACCATTTCTATGTCACCCCGCTGCTCAGTGGAGGAGCAAAACACTCCCATGGGTGCAAAATCTTTGGCACCCGGTGCTTCACCGATGAGGGGTTGCATGAATTCTCCATACTGCTGGCGTGGAACTTCTGGTGGGTACAGTGGTTTGACGATCTCTTCAAATTCTCGCACCCACTTAAGCCTAGTGTCACGATTATTCCACACGAAGGCCAGTATGCCGCCCGGAGACACAACTCGCGACAGCTCGCGGAGAGTAGCATCGTTTGCAAACCAGTGGAAGGCTTGTGCTGCCACGACTCCACAGACGGGGACAGGAGCTGAAGGAGCGGCCTCTGCACCTGCAGCTTCTTGCGCTTCGTGCAGGTCAGTTGCTGAGCCGGGCGAGACGATCACCCGCGGGGACGCTGGAAGCTTGCCCTTGAGAACTTCTCGCATTCCTGCCACAGGTTCGGAAGCCACCAAAGAGAGGCCGGTGTCTTCCTGTAGGATCCTGTGAGCAAGGGGTTGGGAAAACTTCCCCGTGCCAGCCCCGAGCTCAATGACGGCGGCTGGCGACGAAGCCGCCACACGGGCGCGTGCCAAGTAGAGTTGCTGTACCAGCTCTTCGATCACAGCTGCATCGTACCCTGGCCGACGCTGATCGTAGAACTTCGCCTTGCTCTTCCCGCCATCCACAGCTTCACCGTCGTAGCCTGCAGTTGCAGCCCTGTGCACTGCTCGCGATCCACATGCGCTCAGCCATGCAGTCGGACGGCAGTGGTATCGAAAGATCCGAACATTCCTTGGACGGAGAACCCACGACATCTCACATGGACGAGGACGCAACTACCTGCACAGACACCTTGGAGAAAGCATATTGACATGTCAATGTGGACATGCCATTTGCCGTCCTAGACAGTGGTACACTAGCGTGCACAGCATAATTAGGTGACGATTGCCGTAGGCGCGGGACTGCACTTTCACGCTTCGGATCACACTGTCCTCTGAGCAGGAGGTGCTTTCGGAACTTTACGGCCTCAGTGCTTCGTCTTGCCGGGACATGGAGCAAGATGTAGGACCAAGCAAATCATGACCCAAGGGCTCGGGTCACTTCACACAAAGTTCTCGCCAAGTGACCGCTTGAAGAAGCAGCCGCGTGGGAGTCTTCTTCCGAACCAGCGTCGTCATCCTAAGTCCAATTAAGAAACATGCATGTGACATGCTCGTGAATCCTTAAATGCTTGCTGCTTTGAAGTTGAAAGGGCACTTTGCCTGGACGGACTACTCTCCTGCTGATCCCAGGACGTGACGTCATCTTCCATATTCACAACGCTCCGAAGACTTCTCATCTGACGGGGTGCCGTCGGTGCAACTCAATGCGATCTGGCAGAGTCTGGCAAATCGCCTTGCGGGCGGCCGCGTTCTGCTTGTCTCTTGCAGCCTGCGCCAATGATCTCTGCCACTTCGCTGGAAAAAGTCAGAAACCCCTGATCCGAGCCTTGACCTCCGCGGCTTTCGCTTTTCTCGCCTCTTTACAGGTCTTCTTCCATCTCGCATACCTCTGGAAGACATCTCGAGATGCAGAGACACAGGGTCTACACGGCGCTCTGAGCTCCGGACGCTGCGACGACACGAATGAATGCCCTGTAGGTGGATCTGTGAAGGTCAGAGAGCAAGTCCTGCATCTCGACCTCACAGATTGTGCTGCTTGGCAGCTTCGCTTGAGGTATGGCTGTCCCTGCAGCGCAGGCAAGAGTTTCGTCCAAGGGGCCATGAGGACCTCGTTCAGTATTGCCAGAGCCTGGCGCAGCAGAAACTTAGCAGAAGCAGAAGTGTGTGCACTCCAGGCCAGGCACATCCAGGCGTCGCCTCACTCAAGGGTGACTCCGCCGCCTCCGCTGGGCCCAGATGCTCGCCTGGTCCATGGCACTGCGCTTCGGAGCACAGCTAGAGACCAACACGCAACAGTCCAAGCAACGGCAGCAAGGCGGACGGCACGAGAAGCAGCAAGGTCAGAAAAGTCTAAGCGGATGGGGTTGCTGAGGGTTGCTGCGATGCCTAGGGCCAAAAGGAAGCTGTGTGTGGTAAATTCACTACAACGTGCTGGCCTGGTCCCTCGTGGTCACCGAAGGCAATGCCCAAAAAAGGCCTCGGCTGCTGGACCACCAGTAGTGTCGACGGAAAATCCGGGCAAAGATGTCTGAAAGCCAAAGAACCCAGGAGTAGGGCAGCGACAGCTTGCTTGCTGCGTGTCGGACGAGCCGCTGGACTTCTGGACGATTCGCGGCGTCCCTGGCAGGTTCAGTCTGCGGCTTTGCTCAGCCATGGTCGAAGAAGTGAAAGAGTTGCTTCTGGTGGATTTCAGATGTCGGCAGCCCTCGGCCCCTGTTTTGCAGGTTGCACGCCTTCGGGCTCTATCTCATGCAGCTGCTGGATCAACGTGGGATGTCGACTTCCTTCGGAAGCGATGGCCGTTGGTATGCATCAACGATTCGGATCACATAACTGTCTGCGTCAAGTTCTCTGCGACGTGATGCTGCTTGGCAGCTTCACTTGTCAAAATGTCCTGCGATGCTGCCGGACATTCAAGCTTACCCTATCCTCACGCTTACAAGTAGCTATACACTGTTAACATTGCCGGCAGCAAGCTCGAGCGACATGGTGGGCAAAATAAACTGGCTACCCGATAGACCTTGGGTGCTTCTGCAAATTTGCGAGATT